CCCCTGGTTCAGGTGTTCATTCTTACTTCTCTAAAAGTAGAGATCATTTGTTAGTTGCCATAATCTGGTTTCCCTTGCTTAGAAACCAGAAAAACTTCCGTGTTACAGCTTCATCTTCCTATTTGCTGGTGGTGAATTGGTGTATAGAAATTTTGTGCCCGTGTGTGTGTGTGTGTGTGTGTGTGTGTGTGTGTGTATGTAGTAGAATAGACTATTTGACTTGAAATTTGACAGATGAGGAAGAAGTTTGAGATATAAACATGACATACAGACTGATAATTTAGTGAGTGTGCCAAGGAGAGAATGTCAGAATCTCCTATTTTACTCAAATTATTCATGGCCTTTCTTTCAACTTTCTTTATAAGTGCACCCACCCAATCTGAGTTGCTTGGGACTCAAAAAGTCAGCTAGGAAGAACTATCATGTGTTCAGTATTTGGAAAAGCCTAGTTGAAATAGTATATCCACTCTCTCAAACTTCACCAGACTTATTTACTAGAACACTTTCAACTCAAAGTAATATCCCTGATATCATTTGATCAGAAATTCTAATTGGCACAGGAAACTGGGTAAGTTCACATTGTTTGGCAGAAAAAATTCTACTAAAGTAGGTAAACTATGAGGTACCTGAAGGAAAAGTATTTTGCATAAAAACCTGTTACACCAAAAGAATTTAACCTACCTGTGCATGCACTTTTAAAGGCCAAATCTAAAGCTAAAACTTGCAAAATTTCACATTAGCCACATTAGTAATATCCCCTCTCTCACCATCAAATATTCAGTCTCCAATAAACTTTACATAAAATCCACTTATATTATAAAATGTTGAATTCCTTGAAAGAGGAAGAGACTCAAAGGAGATAGAATTAAATGCATTAGTTAGCAAGAGTAAAGAAATCATGTAGGTTGAAGGAACTCGTTTAATGTCATAGAAAGTTTATCTAAGATTTTTATTTTTGTATATATTATTTGAAACAAAAAATAGTTTTTCAGTGAACAATTATAATATATCCATGCTGTAGATTGCCTTGTGCAGGAAAGAGAAAGAATAGAATTGAGGAAAAGATAGAGACACAAAATAATACCCAAAACCCCTTAAGGAAAATCAAGCAAGTTGAAGGGTAATATGTATAATAGAATCCAATTTGACTAAAAAGAAAATAGGTTGAATATGTTATATCATAGTTTATAAGCCAATCTAGAAGGATACACATCAAATTTAACTATTGTTCCCTCTGGGAAGTAGAGTTTAAAGGGAGGATGTTTACTTTATGTATGGACTTAACTATCATTTGAATTTTCAAGAAGGATTTATCACCTTTGTAATAAACCAAAACCAAACACACATACCTGTTTTTTTTTTTTAATAAGCTACCATTTTTATTGCAACGTGGCCATTTTTGTAAGGGTAGGGAATTTGACCTTAAAACAATGTTTCATCTAAGGCTCTTTATTATAAAGAAATTGCCATCATGATTATATTCAAAGTATCTTTAATTTTGACAGACTCACATGGTAAACAAAATTCCTACATTTATTCAGAAGTGATTTCAATGGAAATCAAAAAGGCATTAATAACAACTATTTCTTTTAAGAAGAAATGCAGATAATAGGAATGACCAGTCAGGTACTAGATAAATTGATGACACAGTTAATGAAACTTAATTGGCATTTCTTTTGGGGAATTAAGCTCATCATAAAAAACAGTGCCTCTAATGCATAGTATTATATTCATGCTGCCATGTCACAAAAAAAAAAGGCTTGCCAAAGCAGGTGAGATATATGAGTGCCCCAGTGCCTCACAGAACTACAATTTCACCATCTGACCAATGGATAATACTCTCAGGACATTCAATCTGCTTACACTGTACAGATTCTGAGCTATTCACATGGACAGTTACATTCATTGTAGTATAGGGAGGTATATAACCAGTTGTTTGGGCTAAAATAAGACAGGAAAACATTCTTTGTATTCTAAGTAAAAGTAACCATGTTAAAGAGTCTAATAGCCAACATTGACAGGATCTTAAATAAATTATATCTCATTCGTTGTGTTGGAAGGGCCCAGTGGAAAGCTCTCAAAATCAAAATCTAATGCAATCCCAATGGACTGGAGAGGAGAAATGAAATCCCCTTAAGATCCAGGTGGCACTTGACTGCCATTTTTTAACCATTTTCCTTCAAGTAAAACTACTACAATGTCTCTCACTTTCTCTGGTCCTTAATATTATCCAAGCCATTTACTTGCCCCTCATGTTTAATATCTGTAAAATTTCTTTTTAATGGCATCTTTAAGCTTAGCATGAAGCAGAGGGCACTTTCAGGAGCCCAGAATGTGAATATTAGGTCTTCTTTCTTACATTCTTGTTTTGTATGGGGCATCCTACAAAGCATATCGGCAATCATTCAGAGGTAGCAACTTCACAAAGATGTGTAGGGGTCCTCCACAATATCACCAATGTCACCCACCAAAATAATCTTTGCTTCCTCTATAATTATTTATATTTTTTTAATCACTTAAACAGAAGAAAACTGCTTTTTCTTTCTCAGATCTCCTCTTGTGTATAAGATTTCCTTACTTTCATGTCATTAAAAACTTTGATGACTTCATCATTCACTGTAACTCCAGATGCCATAGCACCCATGCTTGTGACTGCAGCAGTGGTGGCTCATGACTCTGGGCACTCACCTGATTTTTTAAAAGTTTTGGAAATAGTGACCTCAGCAACCATATTCTTTCTCCTTAAGGATCGGAAATTCTGCCTGCAATGGGTGGATTCAGATGTGCAGAAAGCCATACACACTGGCAATTCACACCATTTGTTAGTGGGAGTTGATTTATGGATGGTCGTGCTGACAACAACCTCAGGATTTGCTCTGCTTTCAATCAAGTAGATGAATCTGATGCCTCCCTAGGAACTGGGTACAAGACACCTGGGCTGGATATGTAAATGCTGATAGCAGCAAGAGACCAAGTGTTTCCACTTTCTTCTAGGATTGCCAAGGAGACTGTGTAACATCTCTGGGGGGTGGTCTACCCTATCATATTTGGCTCCTTGGTCATTCCTTGGCACTTCATACTGTCACCTTTTCTCTACCCATTGTTATGCTTATCCAGCCCCTCTGAGTGGAATTTTCTTTTAGGCTTTGTCTCTATATTCCTGCACTGGACAAGACACTGTGATAATCTTACTTCTCACTGTCTTTGTTCCTCCTCTGTGTGGTACTGCTTCAAATCAGAGTAAGCCTGAAATGCTTTCAGTTATTTACCCATCTTATGTGGGCTTCAGAGGTCGTGGATTCTCTGTTTCAATTTTCCTTACAAATCTAGAACATCAGGAAATGAGAAAGTACAATATATACTTTTTTGGATTCTTAGATCATAACTGAGAAGATGTTGTTGACAAAGCTTGTCTGTTCTGTAGGACAATTTATGCACCACTGAACTAGATGGTACACTCCTAGTTTAAGCCCTGTCCAGAGGCAGAAGGACTCTAGAATTACAATTAATATTCTAGAAGCACAAATTTCAAATTGGTTCTTCTGGCTACAATACAGAGAGAACTGTTGTGCTAATAAGGTGTTTTTCTGAAGTGCTAAAATGTTTATTGTTTAAACCAATGTAATTAGTTCCATTGTCATTTAAAATATGTGCCAGACTCATGGCTGTGTTAGATTCTTTTTGTATGCTCGGAACATTACCCAGAGCCTTTGAGTTCTTGGCAGGAGTGAGCTCACATAAAAGACTCGGACTTTATCTTCAGGTTTTATTTCATTCTTTGAAACATTTTTTCACAGTTTGAAACAACTTATAACTTAACATTACACTGGCCAAGCCCTATGATTTAATATTTTCTTTTTTAACAACAGACAAAAACCTTAGGTTGTGAGATATAAAAATAGGATAGCTTTAAAAGTGCACAAATAAATCAGCCTTTCAAAGAAATGGAAAGCTATGAAAATAACCTTTATGAGATTCTTTGGGGGCAATTTAATTTACATCTGAGTGTGCCTGTGGGGGTCTCCTCTGAGTGTCTTTTTCCATTTCTCCTTTTACTCTGAAGCTCACCATCCCTGACTCCTGACAAACTGAGCAGTGGAGTTCTGAAGAGCAGATAATGTGAAAGAGGAAGCACACACTCCCCAGCACCCAACTCCAAACTCTGCTATAGGCTTCCTGTGAGAAAGAGGAGAAAGACATAAGCAGCTTATCCTTGATCCCCTTTTTCTCTGGTATGCCTCACCCTGTTTCTCCATGGCTGTGCAGAAACTGTCCTGGCACGGGGCCTGGTTCCTCTACTGTCTGGGAAAGGGCCATTAAGAGTGTGTGTTTGGATGTGTGTATACAAAGGTGACCTGAAGATGAGTTCCTGCCGCATACCAGGTGCTAGAGCTACATGTCCATTGTGTAAACTTGCTACTCTCTTGTCTTTGGAATCTAGTATGGTAGTGCCTTTGGAGTCCTTCATTAGATCACTACCAGTTGCTATCTGAATACTCCAAAGGACCTCTTCCTGTAGCTCTGGGTTCATTATGTATGGAAAGGTCTAATCTAATGGATTTCTCCAGGCAACTCCTACGTGCTACATGGGAGCAGAAAAGATATACATTGGGAATCTGAAAGGAAGAAGAAGAAAAGGAATGTCTTAGCACTTTTGCATGCATGAATTTGCAATTGAGGCCTGGGAACACTGCTAATACCTCAGCCTCCATCATAATTGAGACAGTATCTTTGGTCTGAAACCACAATTATTGGAGAGAGAAATGAGAGTGGGAGATAAATTCATACCTACCTTTATTTTGATTCTTTCTCTTTTTTTTTTCTTTTTTCTTAGAGGGAGAGAGGGAGAGAGAGAGAGAGAGAGAGAGAGAATTTTCAATATTTATTTTTTAGTTCTCGGCAGACACAACATCTCCGTTGGTATGTGGTGCTGAGGATCGAACCCGGGCCGCACGCATGCCAGGCAAGCGCGCTACCGCTTGAGCCACATCCCCAGCCCAGATTCTTTCTCTACTGAGAATTGAAGTCAGGGCCTCACACAGGCTAAGCAAGCACTCTTCCACAGAGTTACATTCCCAGACCTTTTTATTTTTTATTTTGAGACAGGGACTTACTAAGTTGTGAGGCTGGCCTTAAACTTGAGATCCTCTTGCCTCAACCTTACAAGTAGCTGGGATTACTAGGCATGTGCTACCATGCCCAGCTCATGCCTGATTTTGGAGCTTGCCAAATGGAAGTGGGGATGGAAAAATTTTCAGGTAAACATCACCACAAACTGGAGACATTAAGGATGAAGGCCTGTTGGGATCCAATCCCCAAGATTAGCTGGAGCCTCTGTACCCCAAGGCATTTCAATTTCTAATACTCAGTATAGCATTTTCCAGTAGAGCTTTCCATATCCTTGAAGGATTCTCATGCTTTTCTTAAACTGCTCAGAGTGCTCTAGACACACTGTGGGCTTCTCTTGATATCCTAACTGTGAGGTAGGTGAGAGCCAAGCATTCCTCAGCTGGGGTAGGAGAGAGAACAAGGGCTTTTGACTGGAGATGAAGTGTTTATGACTGAGTAGGACAGATCTTAAGCCTGAGATTACTGTGTTCCTGGTTGCACCATCCATATGCAGGCTCAACTTTCACACAGGTGGCGTAATCTAGCTTGCCAGGAAGACCAATGCTGCCCATAGTGAAAATGAGCCTTATTTTCCTTCACACTGACCTAACTGGGCTATGAGAGAGAAAACCCAATTCATTTTGGAATGGTAGAGGGAGAAAAAAAAATTCTGTTTCCTATGTCCATAGATGGTCCCTCAGATTTGCATCAAGCTCCTCTCCTTAAAGCTCTAAGCTATAGGGTCCCACCTCTGAGCAGCTCACTATAGCACAAGAGCACCCCCTTAGACTCTTTTTACCTCTGCCTCTGAGGCAGCAGATTGTCCGAAAGCCTCAGATTTTCTCACAATAGCTCTCACAGCAGTGCTTTTGAGGTACAAGATAGGAGGTTGGTGGGTGCAGCAGTTTCCAGAGCAGATATAAGCACAAAGGCACAGAAAGCATGTTCCAATGCTGGCTGCACATCAGCCAATCTGGAGATACTCTGGATCCTGACACAGGGATTCCTCCAACAGACCATCCTTGGGGCCAGAGCAAGCTCTGTGAGCCGCAGTCAGTGCCAGTCCCTCATCATTGGTTATGGGTCAACATGACCCTGAAACTTCAGTCAAGCAAAGCTCCTGGCTCAAACCCCAGTCACTCTTCTTGAAGTCCTGGGACTGAGTTTGTCCAAGCAGTAAACTTCAACTCCAAGTGGTCCATTGTGTTACCTTCTGGCTGTCCTAGCAGGAATGGGTTGCATGGCAGGACCACAAGAGGCTGTAGAGTAGATTGTCTATGTTTGTTCTTTTGGTTAGGAAATAATGTTTTCCTCTTGAGGTAGGAATGTAACTGGGCCCAGCATTGATTAGCATTCAACATCTTGTAGCTCAATCTCCTCAGTTGTGCTTTCTGCAAAGCAAAAGATAAGTCAATGAATTGAAATCAGCCACATAGTGGTTTCTTGGTATGAACAAGATAACACATGCCACTTGTGGTCTCAAAACCACAAATGAATAATCACAAGGCCCCAAATGTTACCTTTGAGTTTGTGTCTTCTCTTCCTCTGGAATTTATATGAACACTTATTACAGACCCACATGAGGCTGATTAACACTGCGGCCACAGCGGCGAGTAAAGCAAGGAAGACAGCAACAAAATGGAGGTCTTCGTAGAGGATCTCTAGGGATGTGGGGAGAGAAAGCAGAAGACAGATCCTTTTTAATATTGTGAAGTCGACCACCCACACTTGTGTTCAGAGGTGACTCAGACCCCTGTGGCTGTCTTACCAGACACATGCAGGACAATGGTGCCAAACTGGCTGCTCCCCAGGCGCTCTGTCACGGTGATGATGTAATAGCCTGAATCCCGCACTCCCACACTGAAAAGTTGGATGGAGCCATTGTCAAAGGTGCAAACTCTGTCCTTATGGCTTTGGGAGATGTTGGCCTGAGTCCCTGGTTTCCATTCCACGATTTTCTGCACACCCCAGTTGGACGTGTACTTCCATTCGATGGTGGGCACCCCATGGCAGGAATATTCAACGGAGAGCAGGATGTCGTCTTCGACAGTGGCATTGATGATGGACTGGGGAATGTACAGTGACACACCCTGACCTGCAGGATAGAGTGCTAGATGTCAGGCACACTTACACTTTAGTGTAATGAACTTATACTTTAGTCAACTTATTTAACTCATTAATTTATTTCCACAAGCATTTATTGAGTACCTGTTATATGCCAGGAATGGTTAGAGGCTCTGGTATTGATGCTGTAAAGGTGGACAAGATACAAATTTCCCTGTGTCTAACTTACACTATATATGGGAGACACATAAGGGATCAACAAGCAAACAAGGTAGTTTTAGGTAATGACAAGTGCTGTAAAGATAATGAACATTGCCAGGCGCAGTGGTGCACACCTTTAATCCCAGAAAGTCGGGACACTGAGGCAGGAGGATCACAAGTTTGAGGCTAGCCTGGGCAACTTAGTGAGACACTATCAAAATGAAAAAGAGCTGGGGATGTAGCTCAGTGGTATATCCTCTGGGTTCAATCTCCAGTACCTCAAAAAATAGTAGTAATAAACAAGGATAATAGTGAGGAGATAAACAGCATTAGATGGCCAAGGAAGACCTTACTGAAGAAATGACTTTTGAACCGAGACCTAAAGGACAAGGAAGAGGAGAAGGAAGCAACCCTGTGAAGACCCAGGGGAAGAGATTTCAGAAGGAACAGAAAAGGCATGGTAAGAATGAGCATGGATGAGTTTGAGGGTCAGAAAAGTCGTCAGAGTGCCAGAAAGCAGTGAGCACTGGGGAAGCTGTAGGAGATGAGATTCGAGTGGTAGGCAGGAGCCAAGTCATGATTTCAGGTGCTCAGGGGTGATGGGAAGTTATAGGCTTAGGCAGAAGGGTGATGTTCCCCAGGAAGCTGAGAATATCTGCCACTGAAAACACACTGGTTGGGGGACAAGAGGAGCAGTTAAGTGGTTCCTTATCTAAGGAGATAAAAGACAGTGGTGGCAGTCTTGGAGGTTGGTAAAGAGCAATCTGATTTAGGACATGCATTTGGAAGTGGGGAATGCTGACCAACTGGATGTGAATGTGGGGATGGGTGAGACAAGGGGGCATCAAGCAGAAGATGTGGTTGAAGAGAAGTGCCATTGGCTGAGGGGTATCTGTGTGCGTGTGTGTGTGTGTGTGTGTGTGTGTGCATGTGTGTGTTAGCACAAAATACTAAGCAGGTACCATGCACCAGGACCTCTGCCAACTGCTTTATACTTTTCCTGTCCTTGAGGTCTCATCTGATCCATTGTAATTCTATCAAGGATTTACCTCACATTCAACAGTACCAAAACTGAGATTTATGCAGGGGCCACTAATTCCAAAACTCACACATTTAACCTCCATGCTCAAATCAAAGGTCAGTAGTTGGCAGCAGAGGGAACAGAACTTGTGATAAATGCCTCCCACACAAGGAGAGGAGTGGTCAAGATGGCTCCAGCCTGGAGAGTAAACAGGGCAGGATACAAACTTGGAGCCCAATCCTTGGTTTCTATCTCCACTTCCTGTTTAGCCCCCTCATTCTCTGGGTTCCCAGTTTCCCTAGGCACCCTGCTGCATGACTCCAGGGGACCATACCTGTCACTTCTCCAGGGCTTTCTCATTGTCCTCTCCCATCTCCAACATATCCCATTTGTAACCCTCTTCTAAGGCCTGGCTGGGTATCTAAAATAATCCAATAAATTCCAGGCCGAAAATTGGGAATAATTGCTTTCAAGAGTAAAAGCTGCTAAGTAACAGAAATGTATTTCTCCCTGTAATATTGTAATATAATAAAGAAATAATTGATTTGCATCCCTGGTTCCTGTCACATAGCTCCTAAACCTCTGGGAATCTCTGGAGTGGTAAGTATCTTTTTTATGCTTACATGACTGGAGTTGGGGTCCCTTAGATAGCTTCAAGATGGGTGCTGGTCACAAGAGAGACCAAGATTGGAACTTTCAGCCCCTCCACCTCCAACCCTGCCAGGAGAGGGATCCAAGTCAAGTTGATCACTTGTAGCCAATGAAGTGAGCAATCATGCTTACCTAAGAAGCTTCCATAAAACCCCAAAAGGACAGAGATCAGGGAGCTTCTGCACAGCTGAACACATGGAAGTATCTGGAAGGTGGTATGCCCTGAGAGGATATAGAAACTCTGAGCCGGGTTCACATACCTTGGCCTGTGCATCTATTTATCTATAGTCTTTGTAATATCATTTATAATCAATGGGTAAATGTAAATTGAGTGTTTCTCTGAATTCTTTGAGCTGCTCTAGCAACTCAATTGAACTTCAAGAAGACAGAATGTGGAAACCCCTGATTTATAGCCATTAGGTCAGAAGCACAGGTGCCAACTTAGCCTGTGGGGATCTGATACTACTTCAGGTAGATATACCCTGTTGATATCTGCTGGAATATCTTGTATCCGAATTATTGTGTTACATATGATAGTAGGAAAACATTTGCTTCCTTTAATTTCTTGGACACCCCAATTTTGATTATTAAAAAAGATGTTAGGGTTGGGGGTATAGCTCAGTGGAAGAATGTTTGCTTAGCACAAGGAAGGCCCTTGGTTCAAACTCTACTACTAGAAAAAAAAAAAAGGTTAAATGTTGAAAGTCGAGTGCAATTAGTATATACTCTCCTAGATTCACCAATGGTTAATAGTTTACCATATTTGCTTCTTTCTTGAAAAAAAATTCTCAATTTTATTTTGCTGAACCATTTGTAAGTAAGCTGCAGATATCCTGACACTTCACCTAAGAACAAGCCATTCTCCTAAATATGCACAACATGATCCATTCCCAAAATTTAACTTCCTATAGTACTATTTATTAACATGTGGTATATTTTCACATTCCTTCAACTGACTACAAAATGATGCTTCAAACTGTTTTTTTTTTTTTTTTTTTTTTTTGCTTACATGTAAAATCTGATCAAGGGCTGCTTACTGCATTTGTTTGACATGTCCTTTAATCTAATAAGATTTCTCCACCTTTTTTGTGAGGGGGGATTTCATGACATTAAAATTTTAGAGCTGTACTCCAGATTTATTTGTTTAGAATAAAAGTAAAAAACAAATCAAAACTGCAAAAGTGATGTTTTCTTGTGGCATCACTCCTGGAGACTAATCATGTGAGTTTGTCCCATGATTGAGTTAGATCCCTTGGGTGGTATGTGGTACCTTAACAATGGTACATTCTCCCTTGTAATTTAGTAAGGTACTACTTAGAGACCACGTGACTGCACTACCAGCCAACTACAGTGTGTACATAGATCTTAGCATCCCCCTATATTTCATAGATGGCTGCAAAATGGTAAACTTTAAATGTTCTCATTCTAAATTTATTGGTGGCAGGCATTTCTCTGTAAAGAGCTACTTTTCTGTGTACCTGATCATCCCCATTTTCTCTTAGTGTCCTGATAGACTTTGATTTTTTTTAAAAAAAATTAAGATGTTTTACTCTATTATGCTCCTTATAATTTTTTTCTTCTGGGTTATCTTACATTTGGCCAGTGGTATCCTCTGCCAGTCATTTCAATGTTCTTTGAAATGTTCTCAGTAGTTTGTAAGCATTTTCTTGAATTGAATACATTTTAACAATGTCTTAAAGCCAGAGAATGAGAAACTTGAGAAATTCTGTCCTTGGGCAGGTAAGTGAAGAGGTCATTTTGTACAGGTTGGTCCTTTTATATTTCATGCTCATATTACTTGGGATGTCCACTGGCTCTCTCATGGACTACCTTTGGGGTTAAAAACCTAATCTTGGTCTGAACATACGGGAGCTCAATAAAAGAATCCCAGAACTCCAAGATGGAAGGCATCTTACTGGCCAGACTCCCTCCCAGTGTGGGAAGTCAAAGAGCTCAGTGTTCAGCCTCTGGCAGGACTCTTCCTTGAAGTGACAGAGTATTCTCTACTTACAAGGTAAATTTTGTCCAGATTAGGGAAACTTGATTTAAAAAGCTCCCTTTTATTTCTACCTGAAATCTGCCTCCTTTGCAGCCACACAGACTGCAGAAGTTCTCTTTCAGTATAAAGAGTTCTTCAGATACCTAAGGACTATTCTTCTGACTACTGGAATCACTCCTTCTCATTCAGGCCCTCACTGTGTGGCAGAGTTATTCTTCAACACAGAACAAAGTGCAGAGTTTAAGGCTCTGGAATAGAGAAGGAAAGAGAGGTCAAATTCTAGGTCAGCCCTGGGAGGACAGGAGTTCTGCTTTCTTCATCCTTGTGTCCCCTGTACCCAGCACAATGCCCAACAACACCCAACAACAGTGTGTACATAGATCTTAGCATCTCCCTATATTTCATAGATGGCCTGTTGATCAACATTTGTCAAGCAAACGAATAAGTGAATGATCAAATATTTATGGAAACAGGAAACAACATCAGCTGTTTGGGTGGTTTGAAAAATTAGCTACATCTAAAAAGTAATATACATAAAGAGAAGTACAATTTAATTGAGGCTTTAAGTACCAATCATCATGTACTTTATAATCGGTATTTGTTACATATAGTGATGTGCCCACATAGCTATAAGTGGCAAAGATGGGATTTCAAGCAATTCTGCCTGATTACAAAACCTGTATTCTACCTTGTGACTGTCTATTTAGATATCTATTGCTCTATCATCTATCTAATTTAACATCATCTATTTTTTGTTCCTGATATCTCTGGCCTCACATATAAGCAGTTGGAGTAGTAATTTCTGTAAGAGTTGGAGAACTATATTTAAAACTAGTGATAAATTTGTATCATAATCTCTCTGTGTTTCATGTTCAGTCTGTAAACCTTGTTGGCCAGGGTTACTGACAAACTAGTCTCTGAAGAGACTAACTTTTTTTTCAGTACTTGGAGAATGGAACCAAGAGGTTCTCTACCCCTGAGCCACATTTCAAGCATTTTTTTTGAGATAGGGTCTCACTAAATTGCTTAGGGCCTCTCTAAATTGCTGAGGCTGGCCTCTCACTTGTGATCCTCCTGCCTCAGTCTCCTGAGCTGCTAATATTATGCCATTGCTCCTGGCTTCCACCAGCCTTTTGTGTGTGTGTGTATGGTGCTGGGGATTGAACCCAGGGCCTTGTGCA